TCAAAGTGTGAGAGGTTAAATTCATTGCTTTTATAGAAAGTTGGTAGTGGATTCAAAGTTTATTTTAAGCAATAAAATACTTAGTTCTTTTGATCGTGTAAAGACAATTGTGTTTCTAAGTATATGATTAATTTGAAAGAATGAAGTGAAATTGTTTATATCCATTTCTTTTAAAAATCTATTGCAGAGAAACTCTTGCAACTCAGTTGGATCTCGCAGAAACAAAAGCCGAGTCTGAGCAGTTGGCTCGAGGGCTTCTGGAAGAACAGTATTTTGAATTGACCCAAGAAAGCAAGAAAGCTGCTTCAAGAAATAGACAAGAGATTACAGATAAAGATCACGCTGTTAGTCGGGTAAGTGTGATGGTCAGGTAAGTTATATAACTAAAATTGGTTTAAATTGAAATAAATCACATCTTAATGTATTAGGGTGTTTGGTGCCATGTTTATTTATTTCTACTTTATACATAGTGGTCATTCTATATTCATGTATAAAATAGTTTATATAATCCAAAACAATTTTTAATGATTAAAATTCTTATTCAATACATTGAGCTTTTTTCCTTTCTGGCTGTAAATCTTATTAGTTATATTAATATTTCATGTGAAGAAATACATGGCTTAAATTCGTTTATTCTCTTAATACATTGAAATGGATTTTATGGGCCAGAATTCTGTGAAATTCAGAGGAACTATTTTGGGATGAGAAATTCTTTGGATAGTCTACAAATCCATTATAAGAAAACCAATACTCCAAATAATTACCCATTCTGAGGTTTGTACTGTAGTCTATATGGAATCATGGGGATAAAAAGGGGAGTTACAGAGATTTTTTCTTTTGAAGCTACTATCAAGTGCTCTCATATAGGCAGGCTTGGGTTCAAATGCTAGCGTTGCCCCTAAGAAGTTACATAGTCTTGGCAAAAGTTCCTTCAACTTTTCTAAGCCTCAGATTTCTCATCTAATAGAAAGACTGGGCCGGGCACGGGTGGCTCACGCCTGTAATCCTGGCACTCTGGGAGGCCGAGGCAGGCGGATTGTTTGAGCTCAGGAGTTCGAAACCAGCCTGAGCAAGAGCGAGACCCCGTCTCTACTAAAAATAGAAAGAAA